CTCCACCGACTACGCATGAAAGGACCCTCAGGAAGAATAGGTCAAGAAGAACAAGAAGAATTCGAGAAGGAAGAGATGGTCAGAAGATTGGAGAAAGTTTTCAGAAGCAAAAGAGGTATTATTTTGGCATTGTCAGCTATGGCATGCAGTTCAGAAGCGAAGATCATACAGGAAGAGAGCGACAGCAGAGAATCACGTGCAGTTTCCGTTTTGGGAAGCATGATTTGCAGCAGCATGAGAAGTTTTGCAGTTGCGTGTCATGCATGTGTGCAGTTTGTTTTTGCCTCAGCAGCAGAGACCGCTCAAGCACCTCAAAGTGAAGAACAAAAGACAGAAGCTGTAGGAGAAAGCAGCATGAGCATCGCTGAGTTTGTCCTAGTGATCGTCTTGGTGTTGTTTGCAGCGATCTACGTGTGGCAGCAGATCCCTGTGAAGAAAGAGAAAGAGGAGAGCGAAAGTGAAGAGTCAAGCGAAGACAAGATGAAGAAGAGAGGAAAGAAGTCTGTGCAGAGTCGCAGAAGGAAGCGTGTTCAAAAGCAAGAAGATGAACCAGAAGAAGTTGAAGATGAGGAGACAGAGAAGAAGAAGATCCGTTCAAGCGCCTCAGCCAAGGTACAAGAAGCCGACGACCTCACCGACGACGAGTTCAAGAAGCGCCTCTTGGATAGGAAAGAAAAGCTCAAGGAGAAGTTTGAAGAGTTGAAAAAGAAGGAGTCTGAGCTCGAGAAGAAGAAGGAAGAGCTCGAGAAGAAGAAGGAAGAGCTAGAGAAGAGAGAGAGCGTTGTCTTGAAGGCAGAGAAAGAAGCAGAGGAGAAAGTCGACAAGGCATTGGCTCAGGAGAAAGAAGCTGAAGAGAGAATGGAACAAGCGAAGGCATGGCAGAAGGAGAACGAAGACAGAGAGAAGCATTATGTGGAGAGAGATGCATGGTTTGAGCAAGAGAAGGCAAGGTATGCATCAGAAAGATTGAGCGAGTATCGCAAGGAGAATGAGTTCCAGAAGGACGACCACAATCAGAGAGTGGTGAAGTTAAAAGAAGCAGAGAGAGAACTGAGAGCACAGATTCAGAGGAATGAAGCGACGATTGCATGGCTGGAGAGTGAAGTCAAGAAGCTCCAGTTTGAAGCGAAAGAAAATTTCGACCGCTGCACCAAGAAGGTCGACTACCACCTCAGGAAGCTCGGCGAGTAGGAGATGAAGCTTGGTATTCCGGATGCAGACAAGATTGGAGTAGAACCAAAACCTCAAGAAGAAGAAAAGGGACCGTCCGGAAGCAGTGGTCATGAAGCACCCCAAGAAGCTCAAGAAGTCCAAGGAGCCCAAGAAGGAGAAGCGGAAGTAGAAGCAGAAGAAGACGAGAACGAGAACGAGAAGCCCAGTGGACCAGGTAGGAATCCGTTCATAGCCGAATTCACGAACCTCGGGTACGTTTGGCACTTCAACAAGAAGACGCAGCAGTACAGAGCAGCCCGGGAAGATAAGAAGGGAGCCCCAGAATTGAAGAACACACCTGTGAAAGGACGTGAGACCTGGAACGCCGTGGTGGACATCTACAAGAAGCATAGCGTTTGGCTTAACAACGAGAAGGAAGTCGAACGATGGCAAGAAGAGCAAGACCAGAAGAGAGTTGAGAAGCTTGTTCAAGAACGACTACAACAAGAACAGTCCCAGTACGGCAAGAAAGGCAAAGCGAAGAAGGCGAGCCCTGGCAAAGGCTGGGGATGGCAGCAAGACCAGAGCTGGAACGACCAGCAATGGCAAGAAGGTTGGTATGACCAGTATGGCAACTACCACGAGACTTGGTTTCAGCAGACACAGTGAAGAGAAGGAAGCATCGTGAAGGTCAAGCAGTGAGAGCATTGTACATTTTGTACATAGCAAGAGAATCACATAAGACTTGAAGACTCAGTACAGAGAGAATTCGTTTTCCGGTGGGCGATATCAGCGGAGGAGATTCAAGAACTGGTCAATCTAGAACTCCAATATGTCTAGAGAAGTCCAGTAATTGTTTCAAGAAGTTTCACACAGGATAAGAAGGCTTAGGAAAGGTTACAAGGCGGCAGAAGAGCCAAGAAGCCTGAAGAGCCAAGAAAAGAAACAAGATGCCCGAAACAAGAAAAGCTCCAGTAGGCTAAGTAAGGAGCGAGAAATCCCTCCTACGGGCCTGGAGGCAAAGAGCTCATATGCTGAGCCTAACTAGAAGTAGAGAAGAACATGTAGTTGTACAAAAGTTTCGAGAAAGGATCATGTACAGTTTTTCCGATCCAAGAACCAAGGGCAGAAGTACAGCCAGGTAAAAGACCAAAAGAGATATGGAGACGAAAGTCCCTGGCAGTTTCAAGTACTCTACAGAAAGCCCTTTCGACTTTTCGAGTTTGAAGAACACGAAACCCGCAAGAACTTTCTGAGGCGGGGTGTTCGATTGTCACATAGTGCATGAGCATCCCAAGTAGGAGCATGAACAGTCAAGCATGAATGCATGAGAACAGCATGACAAAGTCATTGCATCAAGGCTTGGCTTAAGCACCGCCCGCAGTGCGAGAGCAGGAAAAGTTAGACCGTGAGTGTTTTGTTTTGTAGAGTGGGAAGATGGCTGTAGAAGCCATGATTTTCAACATCGCCGCCCTTAGTTCGTTCTTGTCTTGGTTCGCGCGGCCCTCAGCTGCTGGTCCATGTTGTTGGTTTGTGCTATTTGTTTTGGAGTGTTTTGTGGGCGTTCTGGCCGTAGCCGTGGTCACGCGTGTCTGGGCTTTTGCGAGTAGGAGTGCAGGTAGGAGTGCTGAGCGTTTTGAAAGAGTCTAGTAGGGCTGCGTGGGTTTTTGCCAGGGTAGAAACGTAGTGCCTATCCCCTGCCTTTCTTCAGCCTGGAAGAACTCGGGCCCCTCGCCTCTGCTGGCTTCTTCCCTCGAGCTCCGGTTGACCGACGTGTCCGGCGGGTCTTTGGTTTCTTGACCGCAATTTCAGAGCGCTCGTGCAAGTGCTGTTTTGGTAGGCGCGATCGGTTATCACAGTGCGAAAAACAAGCCGGCGAAATAAAACGTGACCTGTCGCAACACTTTGCAAACTGCCATGTCTTGCGCAGGACCGTGAGACTTGTAAAATGTCAGCGGGGGCACGGGCCTGCGCCAGCTGAGTGGCGGTCGCGGTCACCTAGCTCTGACCGAAACCTTGTAGATTGCGGAATTCACTAGGACCGCTCCCGGGGCAAGGCCGTGCAGCTCAATGGCAAATTTTATACTTGCAACATTGCATCGTCGACGTTCTCCTGCTCGAGAGCTTTCGGACGCCTTTGGAATTGCGGTTTTGCATTCGCGCCTTAACTGCATCTCCAGCTTTACGCGAGATGCTTCGCTCTTCCAACAACCGGGCCGCCGCCGTGGCCAACTCAGGTCCGCCCCGGGCAACCGCTTCTTCCAGGAGCTGTGTTACATCATCGAGCGAGTTGGCGAATTGAGCACATGCAACGGCTGGATACACTCTGGTTGTATTCAAGTCGGTGGCCGTTGGATCGGGTCCCGGTGCGGGGCTCCAAACCGGGCATGTCTGAAAGGCCAATTTGGGAATCCAAAGCGGGAACGTCGGAAAAGCCAATTGCGTTCCTGGTTTGGGGGCGTCCGTGTCGCAGGTTTAGATTGCAAGTCCGGAGAAGTCAGACTTAGCTTCTGGGCTGGCAGTCGCCAGCACAAAGCTCGCGTGCGAACGTGTGAGAGCCCGCCCCCAGAGCATGCCCTTGCGCGAGCCTGCCGCGAAGCTGGCGTCAGGGTCGCGTGACACGTGAAGCGACATACAGACGAGCAGCGCATCGAGGTCGTCGCGAACGGCCTGCCCTGTGGGCACGGCTCCCAACTTGCGCTTGGTGCCACCATTGTCTCCCCTCTTACGAGACGCGGCGAACCCCACCCGGTCACTGCCGCGGCGCGGCGCAAACGTTTCCAGACGTACCCCGAACTGGACCGCGTCCGCCGCTGTCGGTTTCGCTGTCGGTTAGTTGTGGTCGGCATCAAGACTGGCGGCAGGTTCGGCACCGAGGCAGTGCAGCTCGCCGCCTCGCCCGTCATCAAGCAGCCTCCATCAAACAAAACAAGTGAAAAGGATAGCCGAAAACATTGCAAGCTCAGCGCCCCCGATTGATTTGTTTCTCTTGTTTTCAAAGCTTCAAGCCTGAACCAATGCCCCTCAAACGCCTGAGCCTGCGAGAGAATGCTGGCACTTCTGGGTGTGAGTATCACATTTGCGCGGCACAAATTTGCACTGCATTCATGACTACGGCAAAGTTTAGTTTCCAACGTGTCAGTTTTTGCTTTTGCTCGTGTTTGGACACAAGACTTGCCACAAGCTCACTCTGCGCAGCATCCTGCATAACAGCATGCGCAAGTCTGAGCAGCTCATATCCATGCCCAAGCCTTCCAAACATTGCTCTTTCAACGTGGCATTCAAGTGCTTCGTCAAACTATTGGCTGGATTGATCTTCCCAGGGATTTTGCTGACTTTGACGGACTGTTGGTAGACAAGTTCTTGAAGATAAAGGGTTGCAAACTCAACACGTCTCATTTTGCTACCTGTCCCGAACCCGCAATATGTTGCTTTTCGAATACAGTAGCAGACACTAGGGAATACGCAGCGGAGAAGGCGCTAGGATCGCAAAGTAGTGCATACTGGTGCTGCCCACAGGGTGACCATGCAGCACGCAGGCTAGCAAGACAGCAGACAGCGAGGGAGCGAGCAAGCGAGTGAGTAAGAAAGGGAAGAAGGAAAGACGGAAGTATTATGATACTGAGCAAGTAGGGAGGTAAGGCGAGGAAGGAAGGAAGGAAGGAAAGGAATGAAGGAAGGAAGGAAGGAAGGAAGGCCGTCGGTGTTTATTTACTCTTGTGCCACATGGGAAGCGTTTCATCACGAACTCAAGTGTCTCCATTCACAGTGTGGTCCATAGCCATTCTGTGGCTCTGACAGTTTGTTGTATCGAAATTTGCCGCAAGAGTTTGAGCCAATCATCAAAGATGCAGCTCCCTCTTCAGTGTGCTGTTTGGGCAACTTCCTTTGTTTTTGCGGCTTGTCAATGCCCCCTTGGCGTTCTCCTTCTCCAGGATTGCAGGATACCAGAAGACACAATCTGCACCACTGATGTTTTGGACATCGCGGGCTGCAGTACCTACATCATCGGCGCCAGAAGCGCCCTGACTTTGTCGGAGCTTCACTCAGGAGCTGCGTACTTTCAAGTAGAAAGCGGGGCAACCGTGCAAACGGGACTGTTCAACATCACGGCAGAGGAATCCATGCGCTATGAGTTCGGCAGCCAGTCGGCCTTCACAGTGTCTCGGTGTGATGGCACTCTTGATGTGAGAGCCTGGCGCGCAGGCACAGATGCAAGGGTTGGATTGTCAGCTTGCAATCTGTCCAACGCCACTGTTGAAATCCAGGAAGGTGCTCAAATCTTTGCATTTTCTGCATTGATCGAAGGCGGGACAGGTTCAAGTTCCCCACTTGCTGTTGCGCCAACTGCTTCCTTGATCCTGGGAAATGGTCTTCGCGTGAGCGCGAACACCAGTGATGTCGAAATCTACGGTCACCTTGAGGCAGGTTCGCTCACACTGCATTGTGCGACGCTGCTTCTCAATGCTGGGTCCCAGGCCAAGTGTACAGCTTCGAAGTGCAAGGTGGAGATTGTTGCGAGTGACATCTTTGTTGAAGGATTGCTCCAAGGTGGTGACATCCACATCAGTGCGATGCTATCATTGACTGTTGGCAGCAGTGGCCATGTGAATGCTGATGGCCTTGGCAGCTCACACACTGCAGCGAATGTACCCACTGATGTGCAATTCCCAAATGTATTTGGGAGTGGAAATGTCTGTCAAGGGACAAGAGGTTGGTGCAGTGGTGGTAGTTACTGCTATTGCTGGAGCAGTTGTTGCGGCCAGAAGTTGGCGACGAGCATGGGTGGAGGTCGTATCTTGCTTGAAGCATGTGCAACTACATTGCTTTTGGGAGAAGTCTCTGCGCGAGGTGTTCTTGTCAATGATTGCTCTGCGTCGGGATGTGCGGGAACTTACTATGTTTCTGGTACTGTAACCTGCCGGTGCCGGGAAAATTGCGTAAACGCAGAGAGCAGTGGGGGGTCAGTGCTTTTGATGACCACATCATTATCAGGGAGCGGCTCAATATCTGCAGCTGCAGCTGCTGGTGGACTCAGCTTTGGGTGTCAGGCTGAGCTTGCTGATGGCTATATCGCCATCCATGCAGAGAGAATGGCTGATGTTATTGTAAGCGGCAACCCGGAGCTCAATATCCTATCCAGCAGCTTGCAGAGCCTGTATTCCTCAGGTGCAGAGTGCCTCGCGACAACTACTAGGTCAACATCAAGGTTTTCTTCCAGCACTACGTCGCCATCATCGACGTTCTCCTCCACAACAGTGACAACTACGCAATCGTCGACATTTTCCTCCAGCCAAGTATCAGCAGCCGCAGCGCAGTTTCCACAGACACGCGCACTACCAGCAGCGCTCCTTCTGCTTTGTCAGTGTCCCAAGCTGCTCATTCCAGTTCGAGCCTCGCCACCACCGCCCACAGCTCACTGGGAAGTTCGGCTGTGACCACGACACTTCGTGGTGTGTCATCGACTGCGAGCCAGGGCAACATAGCCAACGTTGCTGTCAACTCCAGCAGCTCCAACGACAGTAGTGGTGGGTTTCTTGCTGATTCCAGTTCGAGCCTCACCACCACTGCCCACAGCTCACTGGGAAGTTCGGCTGTGACCACGACACTTCGTGGTGTGTCATCGACTGCGAGCCAGGGCAACATAGCCAACATTGCTGTCAACTCCAGCAGCTCCAACGACAGTAGTGGTGGGTTTCTTGCTGATGGCTCCATGCCTTTCATTGGAGTCCTTGTCCTTGCAGTACTGCTCACGGCTGGCAGTGTAGGAGCTATCTGTTTATGTATAGCAACGCGCAGCCCGCGCAGGCAAACCCCGGCTCCGCCTGTCTATGTCCACCCTGACAGCACAGGCGTACCCTCCTACTGGTTTGATGCTGCGAGGCCAGCAAGCGGATTTCGACTTGTGAAGCCAGAGCAAGAGACTTGCAAGCACCTTTCGAAGATGCTCCATGTCACGAATAAGACGGACCTTGATGTTGGATACGACGTTGTTTCCGGAAGGGGAACTTATCATCGCAAGTATTCAACTCTCACCTTTCACACTGCATGGAGAGTGGAACACCCTGACATTTGGAGCAGCTATGCAGCAAAGCGTGAAGCTATTGCGAATGATGTGGACACGTTGTCGAATCAAGGGCTAGTGTGTGTGCCGCCCGGGGTTCAACTACCAGGGGCCAGTGCGCTGCCAGGGCAGTGCTCCCAACGCGCCAATGAGGTGTATCTCTTATGTGGAACGAAGCCCGAAAACCTTCATGGTATCTTGGCTCAGGGCCTCAACGTCCGCCTTGCAAGATTGCATGGCATGCTTGGCAGTGAAGCGGCAGCAAAAGTGGATCAATATACCACTCCAGATTCAGGCACCAGTATCTCTGATCTCGGAGAACTACACAAGCTTCTTTTTCCGGCAAGGGGAGATTCCACAGCAGCCACTGTGGAGAAGCACCCAGAGGAAGACATCTTCTATTGCTTGGTTGTTCGCGCTGCTCTTGGATGGTGTGCTCACACTGATGATGGTGAGAAAGTGATGGGCTCGGTGGACCAAAACATCTTCCACAGTCCAGAGATGCGTGAGCTTGCACTCGTTCCAGGATCCAGTCCAGGGGTGAGATTCCACTCGCTTGTGCTGGAGAAGGGCAAGCGCGCCAAGCGTTTTCGAGAATTTGTGGTATATGACAACTCCCATTGCTACGTTGAGTATGTCATAGCCTACAAACGGGAATGAGCTGTGCCATCTTGAGTGCTTCGGAGTTTCAAGTTTTCCAGGCCATTCCCACCCTTCGCTATGGATTTGCTGTCATGTTTCACCGCAAAAGATTAGATTATGTCACTATGCAGAGCGTGTCGGATTGAAAAAGAAGCAGACTTGTTGATTGTTGTGACAGGATACAGGATGCTGGCCTAGAGCTCGAGTGCGCGCAAAGAGCGAGTATAGCACCGAAAGCACAGGATTGAGAAGGGAACCCTACATACCTTTTTGCTGTTGTTGTTGGGCAAGTGGGACGACCACGTTGAGGATGCTACCCCCCGCGGGCGCCCGCTACTTTCGCTACTTTTGCTACCTCCGCGCCCCCCTCCTGGCTCCGTAGAGCCCCCGCGACTTTCGCTTGGCACGCACCCCCTGCAGCCACCCGCTCGACCCCAAAAAGGGGGGGTTGCCAAGGGACCCTGGTTGCAGGGCCTTAAGGGGGGTCCCAGCAATGAAGGGCTTCTAAGCAGTGAAAAGCCTTTAGGTCCTGGTGAAGGTTGAGGAGCAGTGCAAGGGGGTCCTGGTAAGGGTTGAGGAGCAATAAGGGTTTAGGAGGGGCAGTGAAGGGTTTCTCATGGGGAGGGTAAGGGGTCCCTGGCTTGACCTTTGCGACCTGGCCTCTCCTGGCCCCCCGCTACCTGACCCCTCCTGGGCCCACAGAGCCCCCGCTACTTTTGCGACCCTGGAGCCTTCCTGCCAGAGAGCCGCTACCTGGCCTTTTCTGGGGCCCCCCAAAGACCCCCCCCGCTACTGTTGCTACCTTCCTAGCCCCCCCCCCCGCTACTCTTGCTACCTGTGGGCCCGCCCCGGGCATCCGGAGTAGCGGAAGTAGCGGCCAGGATCCAAGCAGTGAAGTAGCGGAAGCAGTGAAGTTGCAAGAGTATAGCGGAAGTAGAGGGAGTAGCGGAAGTAGCGGGAGTAGCGGCCAGGACCCGAGCAGTGAAGTTGCAAGAGTATAGCGGATGTAGCGGGAGTAGCGGAAGTTGCGGGAGTAGCGGAAGTAGCGGAAGTTGCGGAAGTAGCGCAAGCAGCGGAAGTAGCGGGAGTAGCGGAAGTAGCGGAAGTAGCGGTAGTAGCGGGAGTAGCGGAAGTAGTGGAAGTAGCAAGTAGCAACGGCATCGCCCCGCGTGCTCGGTAGCAAAAGTAGCAAGTCACAAAAGTAGCAAAAGTAGCGGAAGCAGCAAAAGTAGCAAGTAGCAACGGCAGCGCCGCCGCCCCGCATGCTAGGTAGCAAAAGTAGCAAGTCGCAAAAATAGCAAAAGTACGGAAGTAGCGTTGCCAGAGGAGCAAGTAGCAACGGCATCGCCCCGCGTGCTCGGTAGCAAAAGTAGCAAGTCACAAAAGTAGCAAAAGTAGCGGAAGTAGCAAGAGTAGCAAGTAGCAACGGCAGCGCCCAAAAACTGCAAGTCACATCCGTTGTCACGAAGGTCATTAGGCGCCTCAAATGTTTCCAACTCCATGTCCCGCCTTGTCCCGCCAGTGTCCCGCCCCTGTCCCGCCCGTGTCCCGCCCCCTGTCCCGCCCGTGTCCCGCCTTGTCCCGCCCTGTCCCGCCCATGTCCACCGTCCCGCCTTGTCCCGTCCGTCCCGCCTCGCAGGATAACGCAGAGAAATTCCAGCACAACAAGCAGCTCACTAGACAGCAGAGGTTAGCGGCCCTGGGAGCCTTCCGGGCGCCCACAAACGCTCGAAGAAGCTTCCAACCCCAGTATGGGCCGGTGAAGGAGCTAGCAAACTTCGGTTCCATGGCAGTGAGGGGGACAGACGGATCGGAAACGCTTTTGAAGCACGCACTGCCTGTGCCTAGAGGCAGCGGAGAGCCGGTAGCCAGGCTAACCAGAGCGCCCGAACTACAAGCGGACAGCTCGAGCCCAGGGCCTGTGGCACCACCTGAGCCTATGTGCGCAAAATAGAAATTATGTCTTTCGAATTGGATTGCGCGTGCAACGCAGCCTTGGAAGAGCCCACCGAACCAATCTAGGGTTACTTGACATGTGGTCTGAGCTTTTGATGTGCCTTGCTCATCTTCGACCCAAACCCGCCCGCTCTTAAAACTTCCCACGGCGATGGCATGGTTCATGAGGCCGGCTTATTTTGTATTTCCCGACGCAAACCCACGTTCGGATTGTAGAGAATTGCGATTGAAGTCATGAGCGATTTGGAAAGCGATTCTTCATAAATTGATTGACGGCTTTGCATGCCTCTTGTGCCAGGAGGCTTTGGAGATGCCGATGACACCCCGTGACCAAAGAGGCCGAGTGTGCAATACTTTTCGTAAGCAGCTATGGCTCGAGTGCGCCCGCGATGCTTCCATGTGAAATCTCACAACCAATCATGGATTTCGTGGAACTTAGTGCAACGTGGGTCGACATGCACAATGCGCCCGTATCTTTCGATGCAAGACGTTTTTGTCAGAGAAGATGTGGAGGCTTGCAGCGTGCACACCACAAGCCTTCAAGCGATGCACACCCACGCACCGACAGAAGTTGACATGTTTGGGATTTCCACTGCCACGCATTTGACACTTTTTAGGCATGGAATGACAGCCATCAATTCCGTCAATTCTGTCAATTCCGACAATTTCCGGTTTTGCGTTGTGTCATTTCCCGCAGAATCTCGCAATGGCTCACATTGAGCATTGCGGCGCATGAAGTCTCTCTTGCATGGTAAATGGAGTAAATCGGGTAAATGGCAGATTGGTACCTGGAGTTAGCAGAGGCAGTTAGAGGGGGCAGTAATGAGGTAAATGGGGTAAATGGATGGGGTAAATGGCAGATTGGGCTTCGTGCATTTCCTGGGCTTGGCGGAGAGGCGGTGCATGGCAAGTTCTGAGAAGCCTTCAGAGCAGCATTTTGGGGCGTTTGCCCCACTTACCGGATTTATCGGATTACTGGGTCCTTTTTAGGGGTAAATCCCCTGGACAAGCAGAAGAGCTTGTCTGGTGCGTTCACCCCATTCACCCGATTCACCGGATTTACCGGATTTATCGGATTTACCGGGTCCTTCTCTGTTGTAAATGAACCCCTGGACAAGCAGGAGAGCTTGTCTGGCGCGTTTATTCTTTATTTTTGCAGCAGTACAAGCTAAAAATTGAACTCGGCCGGCACGGCCAGGCTCTCTCTTAAGTAGACACCTTTTTTGACCCTCTAGAGACTATCTAGAGCCCGCTGAAAAAACCAATTTCGAAACAGAGATGGAGCAGCAAGGCCACAGACCCAAAACAAATTTGCCCTGTAGGCCAAAAAAAGTGTTCGCAGAAGGAATCGCCCAGATGTCGTATTGGAGCTTCGGAGTGCAAAGGAGGGCGCAGTCCGGATAACCTCCGAAGCTTCGGAAGGGCATTTGGATGACACGCGCATGCTCGACGCCACATGGGAAAGGAATCGGAGTTCTTGAACGAGCTTCGACTCAAAATTTTGAGGCCTGTCGACTTCGAGATTCCAATTTGCAAATGGTGGCGGTCCCTCGGTGTCGTGGATTCGCGCATCGACAACACGAGCCTGCATCATTTTTCGAGCTGAACACATCGTAATGGTGCCGTCCTGGTGGAGCTGGCGGGGCTTGCTGGAAGCTGGCTGGGGACTCTCCAGAGACGCGAGAGTACGGTCATGGCAAGCCCGTCGTGGCTGGGGGGCTGGCTGGGGCTCTCGAGAGTCGCGCGAGAGCTGGCTGGGGGCTGGCTTTCGGCGACTTTAGAGATTAAACGACTCCCTGCATGGCACTGAGCTGGCTGGGGAGCTGGCTCTCGGCGGCCGGAAATAGACGACTCCCTGAGTGGCTCTGGGGCTGGCTGGGAGCTGGCTCTCCGGCGACCGCAGAGACACCTCCCACATGCAGGAGAGGTTGGATTCACCCCCACGGGCCTACCTACCCTATTATTATTGGCGGATGACGATTGGTGCGATGACACGTTGGTGGTTTGATTGGTCGAAAAATTGGTTTGAACCGGTCTTGCAGATCAGTCACACTCTTCGACATTGCTCAACTTCAGAAAGACACTGCCAGAATGGCATTGCGAGGCCATTACAGCTTTGATGCTTATTGGTGTTCTGTTTACCGGAGTGCCAGCAAAGAGTTGTTACATTGAGCAAACCACCAATGACTGTTTGAATCGCATTGACTCCACGCTAGCAGAGTTTTACTTGCAGTCTGGAATTGTCGACAAGAGTTGGATTTTGTTCGACAGCGGAGCGTCTGCGAATTGCTCCTCCGTGGTTTGCAGAGGACTACCCATTGGTTCTGATTGTCCAGCACTTAGGAGCATTTCAAGCAAGACCCTCACATATTGGGCAAGAGGGTTGTTGAACTCGATTGCAACGGTCACTCATTGTGTTTCCAGTTTTATGTGTGCGAAAACATCCCGTTTCCATTGGCTAGTGTTTCTCGTTTTCTATTGCAAGATTTCTGGACAGTCATGTCTCGTGACTTCATGGCATTGATCACTCCCACGGGACTTCCGGTACCCATTGTTCGACAAGGTACATTGGTGTATCTTTCTCCTACTGTGATCCCATTCTCATCGTCCGATGCACCCAGAAGCGAATTGGAGATTAACTCTCTCATGGCAGAGATTGATCTTGCAGCATTGGATGTGGAACTTCGCGGAGTAACAGACATTGCTGATCTTGCTTACGATCATGTGTCTAAGATCTCCTCGCTCATTGCTGCTGCGCAGAAAGGTAGGCAGAAGCAAAACTTCAAGCACATGGACTATTGGGAAGTAGATGACAAGGCACATCAATTGATTCGTCATCACGTGAAACCCAGAAGTGCGAGAGATCCCCGACAGTACGCAGGTCTGCTGAAGCGGAGATTGAGCCCAGCGAGGTCTCTTAGGATTGACCCAGATGCACCTTCCGTTCCTCCGCTGAGCAAGTCGCAGAGGATTGCTTGCGTGGTAGCTTCTGTCACGAATTGGATCTGCGGACAGGTTGGTGTAGCTAAAGTCACGACCAAAGATGGCATTGACATTCCTGTAGAAGTCAACTACGACAGTGAAGAATACAAAGAAGAATTGAAACTCTCGGAACCGATCATTTGGGACATCACCCGTGAATTCCCTGAAGAAGCCCAAAAGATTGGTATGAACAAAGAGATGAAGTCCATGAAACACTTCACGGTTTACGCCGAGAAGCCAATTGAAGAGTGCACTGAAGAGCAAATCAGGAATGCGCCATTGGTGTCAAATGGGTCAAGAGATGGAAAACAGACACGGAGTTGCGGATGAGATTGGTAGTCCAGGGATGCTATCAGGACGCACAGGCGTTGGACTCTGACACACTGTTTGCGAGCACGCCGTCATTGGTCACATTACGCATCATGTTGATCATTACGTTGGCGCGCAATTGGTGCATTAACCTTGCAGATGTGTCTACAGCATTTCTTCATGCGCCGATGACTGAAGACATTTTCATTTGGCCACCGGCTGAGTACTATCCCGATTTCAAAAGCCTGTGGAAATTGAACAAAGCTATGTATGGCCTGAAACAAAGCCCTCGATTGTGGCAAGAGCATTTTGCCAAGGTCATGGCTAAGCTAGGATTCAGACGATGCAAGTCTGACGGAAACTTGTATTGTCATTCGTCCAAGCAGCTGTACGTTTTGGCCTACGTAGACGATTTGCTGATTGTTGGAGATTCTGAGCAGTCGAAGTTGTTCATTGAAGCCTTAGGCAAAGAACTGTTGGTGAAGATCACCGGCTCATTGGAGCCCGGAACAGAACATGCGTTTCTCGGACGTCGCCTCAAGCACAACGGCGATTCGATTGACGTGTTCATGTCGCAGGGTTACATTGAGGAACTGCTTAAGATCTACCAGATGGAATCGGCAAACAATGTCAACGCCACTGGCACGACCGCATTGAAACGCATGCAAGACGCAGACATGCCATTGGAGCACGCTGAGCACGCTAAGTACCGAACCGCAGTAGGGAAATTGCTCTGGCTAGCTTTCGTTCGGCCGGATTGCTCTTACGCTGTCAAAGAACTGTCGCGTGACGTGAAGTCACCAACATTGGAGAGCTTGGCTAAGCTGAAGCATTTGTTAAGGTACATTGTAGGCACGAAGCAGACTGTGCTACGACTACGCCCGAGCCAGATGCTGGCCGATTGGCGTTGTACCCTTGACATTGCTTGCTATGTAGATAGCGATTGGGCAGGTTGCTCTCGCACGCGAAAGAGCACCAGCGGAAGCACGGTGCAGATTCTTGATTGCGATGTCATTCACTCCTCGAGGACGCAAGCCACTGTGGCATTGTCTTCTGGTGAGGCTGAACTTTACGCTATTGGCCAAGGAGTGAACGAGGCATGGTTCGTAAAGAATCTTGTCTTGGAAGCGGAGTTTGCGCGACGCGTGCAGATTGTTGCGTACACCGAATCTACTGCAGGTAAAAGTATGGCTACTAGATTTGGCGCTGGAAAGCGTACAAAGCACGTAGAATTGCGCTACTTGTACATGCAAAATCTTGTACAGAGCGGATTGCTGCAAGTACGTAAGATAGGAACCAAGTTCAACCCGGCAGATGTATTGACCAAATACGTCTCCACTGAGACACTGCATAACTTCATCGGAAAGCTTGGATTGGTCAGGAACCCATTTCGATATGGCTGGATCGAAAAAAAAATAAAAATTGTTTCACTTTTCCCTTTGTTTCCCCGCCCACCCGACCCTTGTGCATTGATTTTCCGGTTCTGTTTGAGGGGCCGAGGTATTGTGTCGTTTTCGCTTTGACCTCCGCGGTCAAAACGGATTGCGTCGAGCGTTGAGAGAAAGAGAGAGAAGAGCATTGCTGTCTTGACAGTACGTACATTGCATGTGCATTGACATTGCTGTCACGAGCACGACATGTCAGTCACTGCATTGTGCATTCAGTCATGTTATTTGTGTTTATTGTGTTTCAAGATTGTGTTTAAGAGCATCGCTCAACCGCCATTGAAACGACATTGGCAAACAAGAACCGTCAAAGCATTGCAATTGAACAAATTGCTCCTTCTGACTGTCATTGTACATAAAGCCCTAAAGCCCGAATTGATTTTCCGGTGAGCAGATTGCATGATAAATTGGTTTTCTGCAAGTTTTGAAGCATTGATCACGCTGAACTGTGGCTCACATTGCGTCACATTGCGATCACTCATTTGGTGCCTAGAGTAGTGTGAGCATTGCACTTTCTGAGCATTGTCCTCTCTGCATTTTGTAGATTGGTGCATAGGAACATGGCCGTTCCCGCAGGAGTGATTGCTCCGATTGTCCCATTGGCTGGCCTGGACCAGCTGAAAGACGATTGCGAGAGATTGCTCAATGAGAGCGCTATGCTGACGGACGCATTGGGATTGCTGCCTACTGAGGCCGCATGCTCCCCGATCCCGATCGTGCGTCGCATTGGGATTGACATCGATACTGCGAAGGCACTTTTGGTGCGAATGAAATTGATTGAGAATTGCATGGGTGGAGTGCTTCTCAACAACGCCAGCCTGAAAACATTGGAGCCACAAGCCGGAGTGAATCCATTGAGGCTTGGATCATTCGCGAACTGCCTCAAAACGGAGGATTGGCCCAGTCCATCGGGCATTGGTCCTTCCGTGGGATTGGCATGGCTCATTGTTGCATATACTGCGCAGGCTGGAATGCGCATTGGTGCAGTCCAGCATGGGTTTCCATTGGCATTGGTCTCTGCTCAGGAAGGAATGGTCCCATTGACCATTCGCGCGCTGCAGGTCCGCAATTGGATCACTGGCACATTGGAAGTGAAATGACCCTGGATGGCTCATTGACGGCAATGCCTTTCTTCGTTGCATTGCCCGAGTCACTGATGCGGAGTGTGGTGGCAGACGGTGTCATTGCATTGGAAGGTTTTCCGTGCAGCCAGGCAAATGCCTTTACCGCCGTTGACCAGGCATTGGTGAAACTCCATCAATGGTGCGATCAGGTTCCCTCAATTGAGGCAGGATTGCACGAGAATGTCTGGATCATTGGCTACCACCCATTGATCGCCCGTTTCCCTACGACGTTGAAGAATCCCGCCACGGGCAAGGGTGGATTGCTGCATTGGCGCAATCAGTCGTACTGCGGCCACTGCTTGATCTTGGAAGCCATTGAGGATGGCAACTCGTATCGATTGCATCATTGCATCCCACTGAGCTGATGTCGGCGATGGTCATTGACACTCGCTTGTCATGAAGGCCCTCCTTGATGGATTGAACTGGGACCTTAGTGGTGCGACGGAGCAGTTCTCATTCCATCGCCGCATTGCCGTCCCCACTCGTCTGAGCAAGCTGATTGGTGCAGGGCGCACCGCAGGCATTGGCTCGTCGGCCATTGCTGGAAGTGCAGTGGCAAGGGCCATTGGCGAAGGCCAGACTGGCAGCTCGGAGCTGACGATCGCAAGCGGAGGCAGCCGATTGAGGATTGCCCTCAACGTCCACCAGATGGACTGATGCCTCATTGGCATCCAACAGTTTTGACTGGCCTGGATTGATGAGATTGCATTTGATTGGTTATTGCTTCGACGATTGGTTTTACAGTTGATGCTTTTCATTGGTGATGATGTGGTTTTCGTTTGCTGCAGCTCATTGGACCCCGATTGGAAACTTTGCTGACCGTTTCTCAGGACCACTCCGTGTGGTGTATTGATTCGGATGCATTGGAGCATTCGGAATGCCAAAGAACATTGCAGGTTTCGTTGCAAGTTCTCTTTTGAAGCGATTGCGATTCGCTGGCAAAGCAAAAGGATTGAGCCGAGCCTCTGAGTGCATTGTTCAATGCTGAGCTGATTGTAGTTGATTGCAGTTGAGATTTTTTTACATACTCCGTTGATTGGTTGATTGAATCTTTGTTTTACGAAATCATTTGAATTGTGACTGGAGAACAGCAGAGACAACCATTGTCTCTACTGAGGGACAGCAAGTATTAGGCCTCTTAAACTGCTGCCCGGTCCCTCAACAAAAAGCCCAGGGGCCCAGCAAGTATTAGGCCTCTTAAACTGCTGCCTACATCCCCTACAGAAGGCCCAGCAAGTATTAAGCCTCTTAAACTGCTGCCCAAACCTTCCACAACAAGCTCAGCAAGTATTAGGCCTCTTAAACTGATGCCTAAACCCTCCACAGAAGGCCCAGCAAGTATTACGCCTTTTAAACTGCTGCCCAAACCCTTCAAAAAAGGCCCAACAAGTATTAGGCCTCTTAAACTGCTGCCTAAACCCTCCGCACAAGGCCCAGCAAGTATTACGCCTCTTAAATTGCTGCCCAAAGGCCCAACAAGTATTAGGCCTCTTTAAACTGCTGCCTAAACCCTCACAGAGGGGGGGCTTGAAAGGGGGCTGGGGTTTTAAGGGGGGTCTTTAAAGGGGGCTTAAGGGGGGGCTTAAAGGGGGGGGTTAAAGGAGGCACAAAAAGCCAAACAAGGCACGTTTGGTTTAGTTCCAAAAGTTTTTGAGGCTTGGTCCGCTTCTTTGAAGCAGTGCGTGTGAATTGCACTCACTTCGTGTGCTTGCCCACGTCGTTTGTTCCGTGTGCGTGGAACCCAACTCTGTTGGGGGGCTTAAGGGGGGCTTAAGGGGGGGCTTAAGCGGGGGCTAAGGGGGGCTTAAAAGGGGGCTTAAGGGGGTCTTAAGGGGGGCTTAGGGGGGGGCTTAAGGGGGGGCTTAAGTGTTAGAATATAAGGTCACAATTGGCATGCTTCCAGAGAAGCATTGACACAGTGACATGCTCAAGATGAGCATTGACTCGATGCTGTGGCTCAAGGCGGCACAAACAAGATTGCTGAGTGAGTGATTGCATCAAGTGACTTTGCTGTGCATCTTGTGTATTCTGGATTGTGTGATCAAGCCAGTCTGTGAACATTGATCTTGTAAAATTTCATTAAGGGGGGGGGGCTCAAGGGGGGCTTAAGGGGGGCTTAAGGGCGTTGACCCGAAACCCAAACCTTAATTCCTTACCCTTCTTGTTTGTGTTGGCTCTGTTGATTCTTGTCACGGATTGCCGCGCAGTGGTCTGTTTCTCTTTTGTTGCAAGTTCCACAAGAACGGCCCACTGTGCTGCTGATGTGGTGAAGAGGCGCCCGTTTCTGAGCCTGGGTTTGAACCTGTGGGTTGGAACCAACCCGGGTTGGGCGGGACCATCCTCCAGGTACTTTCAGGAAAGCAAGCTTTTTGGAGGGTCGGGGAGGAGCGTAGCCGAAGGCGAGAGTGAGGTGTGTGGAGGGGGGGGTCGGGCGACAGAGGGAATGAAAAGAAGCGGCAAGGATGGCATGCTGCGGCTTGGGGGGGGCACTCACTCCAAGCAACAAAGTATCATGTGCGATGGGGAGCGGGTTAGAGGTGGGGTGCCTTTTTTAAGACTACCCAAACACCGCGGCCTGAACGGATTGCTTAACATTGGGTCCAACACATGCGAAATCCCAGCATGTTCACAGCTCGGTGTACAAGGTTGCAGCAACAAGGGCGCACATCTAAACCACTGGACCCTTTGAACTTCTAAAGTCATCGCCAAACCCATCCAAGCTTACTTAAAATCCACCTAAACCCTTGAACCCCCCAAAGACCACATAGTCGGTGCCCATGCCGGGTTCGCGGTGGCGTTCCGCCCACGCGGCGGGCCAGGTCTGCCGGAGGCCCTAGAAGCTGCACATGATGGAGGTTTTGTTTGGGCGGCTTGGGGTGGTGGGATGTTTAGGTTCAGGGTTCAGGGTTTAGAGTTTAAGGTTTAAGGTTGAGGCAAGGGAAAGGTGCCGCAAGGGAAAAGTGCCGGCCCAGCTTCCATTGGGAATGGGTTGGATGAAGTTGTGCATTTTGTGTTCTGAAAGAGTCGCCCCGAACCCGAAAGACGCACGATAAACCCCCAAGCCCAAAAACCCCTAGACCCTTAAACCCTAAACCCCGAAAACCTAAACTCGCAAGCACGAAACCCCTGAGCCCTCTAAACCCTAGAACCTCTAGAGCGCGTAGGTGCTGCCATGTCACGCCTGGGGTTAGGGTCAGGGTCTCAAGACTAGAAGGGGGTTACAGGGAAGTGTACAGGGTTTAGGGTTGGGGGTGGGGGGGGCAGCTGCAAGTCACAGCAGGTTCATGACGGTGGCTGCTGCGACTGCTGCCTTTGAAGTTGGTCCTGCTTCCTCAATCCTGTCACCTGCTCCATTCGCCACCCCAGTGCGAGATTTGCTGGGCCAACCATATAGGGATTAAAATCCTCCGAACCCGAAATCCTGAACGACAAATTTTTATCCAAACCCGAAGACCCCTAACCCAGACCCTCCCTTCCCTCCAGAAGACCGTGAACCTTCCATTGACACCCCAAACCGCATAATGAAACAAAACGCGAAACAGCTGGCCTTCCTGTCCATGTTCTTTGTCGGCCCGGTTCTCAGAGTGTTTCATCATAGACTGTTTTTATTATGCGATCATGAGAATCAGCAGAATCTCAGCGTTGCAGGGTTGGTACCTTTGATACCCGAAGGTCGCAGAGTCTTCTAGCCATGCTCCCAAAAGGGCGAGTTCGGAGGTAGCTGAGCCATTTTTCCGCACGGCCAAGGGCGCAACTTCAGGAATTCATGAGATAGAACCCTCAGGAAGAGCGGACGAGCCGCATCCCAAGGAACCCTACACGTTAAATCTCCCCAATTTCCCTATAGATCCCTAAGGCCAAGCCTGCAAGCCATATTCCGAGGCGAAGGGTTTAGGAGTCGAAAGAACTACCAACGATGGTTTGAGGAGAAGGGTCGAGTTTGCGAAGGAGGGGTGTGCCGTCACAAGTGTGGGTCGTTTGAAGCTGGAGCCCTTTTGTGCTTTCGGGTTCAGGGTATTGACAGCGGAAAGAGGCCTTATTTGTCAACAACCTCTACCGATTTTGGGTACGAAGCTTATGAACTACACCAACCCACGCCCTAAATCCCATTCCCTCTCCTGCTACCCAGCCCTTGTATCGCTGTTGCTGTAACATGGTTCCAAACTGTCTACGTATTCGCAGATCGACTTGTCATCGCTGGCAGGCAGATTCCGAAGGGAACATCGGCAACAATGGCTATGCAATCAAGGCCTGATGGATGTTCCTCAGGTCTTTGGTATGATATGCCTACGCATTACTATGGCATGGTCCTTCGTGAGTGATTAAGCCTTCCTTAGGCCCATATTACCATAAGTACTGTCATGAGCACAATCATCATAATGCGCATTGTAGTTACAGGCCTCCCGGTATTTTTGGCGACTGGCATGTCCTGACCAGGCGGCCAATCTCTCCAGGTGATTGTGTAGTGTTTAGTTCTGGTGCCGCTGAACTTGACGCTGTGTCCCTCATTGCCTAACGTTTTCTGTATCGTTATTTTTGCTGCAGTCACTGTTCCGAAATTAGGGGAGAGTCGAACAGCCAACTTCAGAAAGAGGGCCCCAGAGGTTTGAGCAACTGCAAGGATCGCCCCTCGCGAACAACCACGCTCATGGTGAAAAGGATTGGTCTGCTGACGCTGCTTTTTGATGTCTTTTACCTTCACGCTTGGACTTCTGCATTTGGTCAACATTTTGGCCAGCGTTTTTGCCAACATTTTCGTCAACATGGTAAGGGCACCCCTTGCTCAAAAGACTCGCGCTCACGATCTGAACCACGGCCTTGATGTGCAAGTTCATGTCCTGCGACGTCTGCGACTTGTGGACCAGAGCATCTCTGGTCCACAGAGCATCCTGAGAGAGGCTATCCGCTAACCTGTAAGGGAGCAGCATTTCGTCGGTGTTATAGGTTTAGGGTGTAGCTGCGTAGCTTTTGTGTCCATCTGCTTGGTACAAGTCGGCTTTAGCCCTGAACCTGAAATATCACCCTGAACTCCAAACAAGACGAAGACGAAGAAGAAGGAGAAGGAGAAGGAGAAGGAGGAGCAGAAGAAGAAGAAGAAGAAGAAGAAGAAGAAGAAGAAGAAGAAGAAGAAGAAGAAGAAGAAGAAGAAGAAGAAGAAGAAGAAGAAGAAGAAGAAGAAGAAGAAGAAGAACAGCGCCCTGCGAAACCTCAACCCGGATTCAAAGGGGGAACGGGATGACACCACCATCATTGTAATTTGTCGGTTTTGTTTTCTTCTGGAGGTTCAAGATTCAGCAAAAATGCAGCAGTCCGGCCCTGAGGCGCTGCCCTTGTCTGGTACTGACATTGACCCGTTGTCGAGACTCGATCTGCCAGCTTCATTCCACGGGTTTGCCGTATTGTAAATCTCAGCGCCCTTGTTGCACCTCATGATGCACGGTTTTCCAGGCTCCTCAGTAGAGTGTATGATAGACCGGACTGCCATGATCTTGTGAGCTTCGATTTGCCCTGGAAATGGAACTGAACCACAGTGATGATTACAACAAGTATGTGAAGGCCGAACTTGACAAGCTCTATGAAAGCCTCGTGCGCAGATATGAGGAGGTGCACCCGGCCCGAGAAAGTTTCCAGGAGCACCTCGCAGATTCGTCTCAAGTCAGTTCTTTGTCAACGTTCAACGGCCACGAGAGCCCAGCTGTCGGACGGGAGTTGATGCACGGCATGAGCCAGGCCTCGGTCGATTCTTTGGATACCCATGCCACCTCCCAGCCGCCCCAGCCCATTCTCAACTGGGCACTCCTTTGCGAAGGTTTGATGCACCAGCATGAGGGCGAGCTGGATGAAGAAAATGATCAGCAGATGTCTTACATCAAGGATGTCTTGACAATGCGGTCGCCATGGAAGACCACATTGACATACCATGCTCTCAAGAAAGACAACGCGAGGCCATTTTCCTCCCTATCTCGCATGAAAAGTCTCCGAATGCAAGAGGCAGCATTGGATCAGAGCTGCTTGCAGCCTTTCGTCCGCCAGCCAAATAGCAAGCTTCAAATCGTGTGGAGCTTGCTCGGTAGCCTCTTCATCATTTGGGACTTGATTACGATACCCTTGGAGCTCTTCGATGACCAGAATATGATCACATTCCTGGTTCTTGTGGGCAAGATCTCCTTTGTGTATTGGCTCTTGGATATGTGTCTTGGCTGAAGCAGTCCACATACCCGCCAGTTTGACATGAAGGATACGTTATTGCGCTTTGATCCCCACCCAGCAAAATACTTGCATGTCACGTGCATTTTGTGAAAGTTGCTTCCTGTTGTTCTTCAGCATCTCAAGGCCTTCGCACTTGATCTTTGGCGTGGAGGTCGATGGCTTTCTCGAGCTTCGACCGCGAGAGCTGGCAAGGAGGCACTCTTCAGCAATTGGAGGTCGATTGCTGCCTTGTCCCGCGGAAAGTCTTTGAGACTTATAGATATGATCGGTCTGATAGGTCAAAGCGCAGCATTGTTTGCACAAGGTACTGCCGGTCTTGGTTCGCGATCGACTTGACTGTCATTATGGTTGATGCCCTGCTCATGCTCTTGCAAGAACTGCATGGCTCCGAACCTGAAGGCCAAGAGAGGGTCCTGCATGTTCCGTCTTGGCAGCCATCTTGAGCCCTTCGACCTACCCTGCCACCCTACCACATCCTATCACCAAGTGATCTGCGCTATGGAGGCTTACTGTAAGCACTGCAAGCGGTTGTCGAGGTAGCCCTGTTCGATCAGCTCGCTACCTTCGCACTCTGCGCCTGCTGCGGCTTCTTCGTCTTCTGCGCGGCGCTCAGCATGGCTTCGAATTTGCTGTTGCTGCCATTGCTACACTTCTGTGCGGCTTGGATGGCTTCCGTAAGGTGGACAACTCTCTGAGTGTACCTTAATCTTTGGGTTGGTTGGTCTCTCTTTCAAAGTCGCCCGGAGGCGTGTTGCGAAGCTCCAACAGGCCAGGCGATGAAATCAAGCTTCTTGTTTGCTTGTGTGTACATAGTATCGGTTTGTTCTGCATGTTGCAAAGAAGCTCCAACAGGTCAGGCTCATTTGGACGTAGCCAAGCTTCTTGTTAGCTTTGGCTTGCTACTTCAGGAGCTGACGAGGCTGGCAAACAACTTCCTCTCCACATACGCGTTCATGGAGCTTCGGCTGCTTTATTGCCTTGTGGAACCCTCACGACACGTGACTTCAGTGGCTGATGCCCACACGCTCCAGTAGGCTGATTGGGACTGTGTCTTTGTTGATGGGGAGCATGTCTCGGGTTTCGCTCCTTTGTTGTGGAAGTAAGGGGTAAGTCGGGTAAGCGAGCCCTGCTCAGCGTGGAAGATTGCGGAAGATGGAAGCTATGGGACTCTGGTTTCAAAGACAACACACCCTTTGCAAGGACGGAGCAGTGGATCATGGTGAAGTTCTCAGTACAGAAGAATGTTAGCTCGTACCTGATTGCAGGAACCACACCGGTGCCCACTAACAACGACATCGTATGACGTTCCCAGACCATATGTTTCCATATATGCAAGAGGCAATCCCCTTTGGTGAGCATCGTTAGCCGCACAGCCAACGCGAGATGGCGAGGGTGCAGTATCTGAAGGGACATGGTAGTTCACCTGGGAACAAGGAAGACCTGTTTGCAGGTAATGAAAGTGGTCTCCGGTCTGCTGATGATCTTGGCAGTGAACCACCTCATTGCTTGCTGCTGGTATGGCATTGGGCGCTGGACTCTTGGCTGCGACGCAGCTGTGGCATGCTGTGGCACTGTGGGGATGCGACGCCATGTACACAGTGTACATGTTCAAACCCAGAACATTGAGAATTTGGGTGCGTGATTGCACATGCCTGGTCAAGAAAAACCATTGTCAAAGGTTTCAGGCATGATGGGAGCAGGTTCCGAATGGAAGACTGAAGCACTCAAGGACGTTCGATTCTGGCGACAGCTGGCTAATCAACGCGGACATTGACATTGTTTCTTTGGCTCACTTTGTAGAAGAGAGGATTCTAAATAAGCCTAGGCAGTCAGGGTAAGCTGTGAAGTCGCCAGAGTTCGATGACATGGCATGGGGTCATGGGGGTGACAAGCTGGTATAATATTGTCACAAGCTCGCATAATATTGTGATCCTCTGTTCACATCTGTTCACAAGCACGAGAGTTGGAATGGCAATGTCTCTTTGGTCGAGGTCGTCGCAGGACAACGAATTTTCATTTTTGTGATTTCAAGCGCCCATAGTGACCCTACGTGAATTCTGTATTCATTCTGTTCTCTCACTGAGATGCAATGCAAGCGTGGAAGGGTCTGTTAAGTTACTTGGCTCCCTTGAGGCAGCCTCGTCGTTGTGTCGCCCCCATAACGAACTTGCAAGCATTGCCAACTTGCCAGCTGATTCATAATTGCCTTGCCCACATCTTGCCCTCTTGGAACTTGACCCGACGCATTGTGCAACTTGGCAAGAGGAAGTCTTCCTCTGAGGAAGATCTCGCCAACGCGTACGCCGTTTCAATCCACTGGTCCCTGACTCAATTCACGCCGGCGACGAACAATGTTGCCCCTGTCAATGCTGTGGAGAGGCTGGGTGTCAACGTTGAACTCAGGATGAGCCATACAGTGTGCATTGGTCTGTTGCGAGTCAGGTCAAAGTCTAATGGTCGGGCTGCACAGAGCTGCTGACAACCTCGAACCCCATCACGCAATAAACAATGTTACGTTTGACAGGTTCTTTGCCGTGTGGGTGATTCTCTTGGCGATGGGAACCTTTTCGCCTCCGGACTTGACTAGATGGGTTTCGTGTTCCAATACAGGCCATCCTTTGGTACCCACTGTAACAGGTCGGGACATTTGTTTTTGTTGGGTACCTTGTACTGCTTGGATCTGACAGTGGTTCTCTATCGAAGTGCCAAGCATGACACCTCTTTTCTCGAGATGGTGCCTTTTCTTATTGCTAGCTCCAGGGTTCTTGCACAGAAATAGTTGGAATAGTTGTGACCTCGTGAAGCTAAGAGTTTTCTCAGCTCTCTCAGGCTTCGGTTGAGGCCAGAGGCCTCGGATGACGGAGACAAAACGAACTGAAAGGTGCATGAAGGAACATCACGTGTGCATCACGACGGGGCCAACATGATAAGTTCATGCCAGAAATTTCTTGTCAGTCGTGAAAGTACTGGGTTTAGCACGCGGCCTTGCCCGGGAGACCACCGCAGCTCGAATAGAATTGTTACAACAATAATGTCTTCGGTGAAATGCATGATGCTCGAATTGTGAATTTGGGTAGGCATTCGGATGATGTGTTGCTGGGCACGAAGGTCCTTCATCAGCTCCATCACGACTACAGTTAGCACCTTGCGTGCTGCCAGAGCCGAGCAGTTCAAGCACCATTCGATTTTGGTCCGGTTTTTCAATGAGCGGAACCTCTCGACGGACCTCTATGGCAAGATAAACGATATCCTGAAGAGGCAGGGCGCCTATGACATTCGCGTGAAGGAGCAGAATGTCAATCTCTTGCAGGGAATTCCCGATCGGCTCAAGGTTGACCTGCATGAGGAGATGTTCATGAGCTCTTTGATGCAGCTCGGCATTTGGCGCCACTGGCATCATACAGATGATTTCAACTTCTGTCGTGAAGTCTGCAACCTGGCAATGTGCGAGCACGTCGCGACTCCAGGACAGGATGCGTTCATGCCGGGGACAGACTGTGAAGAGGCGGGGCTTGGAAACGACCTTTTAAGCTTTGCGACTTGGGTTTAAGGTCATCTGCTCGAGGATGAGGTTGAAAGGCATCTCTCGGCGAGGCTGAGAGGGCGGCCCCCTGGAACCCCTTGTCCATCCACCCAGTGCATGACAATCCAGAAAAGGGGTAGGCACGGCCCATGAAGGTTAAGGGCAGGGTTGGTCTGTTTGGATAAGTTGGCTTTGCGGATTTAGGGTTTTAAGTTTGGGGTTTATAGAATTTTCCTGGCTTTGGGGGTTGGGGTTCGCCTTGGGCTGTTTAGTGTAGGTCTACATCATTGAATCCGGCTCCATGGGCTACATCGCTCGGCAGCTCACATCCTTCGAGTCGGAGCTGTGTGAGAGCGGTGAGGTGTTATGCCTGCCATGTATGTGGGCAGAATGGCTTCATCGTGGTCGCCTCGCAGCAAACACTGGTGTGACTTGCTATTACAATGGGATCAATGGGGAGAAGTTTGCGAATCTCGTGAAACGCCACGGTCCTCTCTGGCAGCACCTCGAGCTGCGTCGAGCTTTGAGAAAAGGAGGGCCTATTTTTTTAGGTACTTTTTTTTCTCTCTTTTTTTGGTAATATTTTTTTCTCGTGGTCCCCTGGTCTCCTGGTCCCCTGGTCCCCTGGTCTGCTGGTCGCCTGGTCCCCTGGTCTGACCCCCCGGCTTCTTCAAGCCGTGCGAACTTTGTCAAAGCAGATGAACGGTTAAAACCCATCAGGCCACCTTTTTCAAAGCATATGAACGATTGAAGCCCATGATGCGAGCATTGTGTTTGCCAATTGGGGGGGGGGCTGCGCCCCCCCCCCAAACCTCCCCGCCTTTTTTAGCCGTGGATGTTTCAAAGCATATGAACGATGGAAAGCCCTCATGCGAGCATTGTGTTTGCAAATGGGGGGGGGGGGGCTGCGCCCCCCCCAACCCCCGTGCTTCTTTAAGCCGCGCAAGCCTTTTTCACAGCATGTGAACGATAAAAGCCCATCAGGCCACTTTTTTCAAAGCATATGAACGATTGAAACCCATGATGCGAGCATTTGCAAATGGGGGGGGGTGCTGCGCCCCCCCCCACCCCCTTTTTTTGTGATGCAAGCTTGTTTCAAAGCATATGAAAAATTGAAAGCCGTCATGCGAGCATTGTGTTTGCAAATGGGGGGGCTGCGCCCCCCCAACCCCCCCGCTTCTTTAAGCCGTGCAAGCTTTTTTCAAAGCATATGAAGGATTGAAACCCAATAAGCATAGGAACGATCGAACCCATGACGCAAGCCTTTTTCAAAGCATGTGAACGATAAAAGTCCACCAGGCCACTTTTTTCAAAGCATATGAACGATGAAAACCCATGATGCGAGCATTGTGCTTGCACTTGGGGTTGGGCTGCGCCCCCCCCCAACCCCCCCGCCTTGTTAGTGATGCAAGCTTGCTTCAAAGCATATTAACGATTGAAAGCCATCATGCGAGCATTGTGTTTGCAAATGGGGGGGCCCCCCCCCAACCCCCCCCGCTTTTTTAAGCCGTGCAAGCTTTTTTTCAAAGCATATGAAGGATTGAAACCCATCATGCCACTTTTTTCTAAGCATAGGAACGATCGAACCCATGACGCAAGCATTGTGTTTGCAAATGGGGGGTGCTGTGCCCCCCCCCAACCCCCCCGGCTTCTTTAAGCCGTGCAAGCCCGAAGCCTATCATGCGAGCACTGTGTTTGCAAATGGGCCACTTGTGGCTTCTAAAGGCCGTGCAAGCTTGCGAGCAACATTTATACGAATTCCTACGAAAAGCAATACGATTCCTATGAAGATATGGAGGGAATGGAGGTTTTCGTAGGAAAAACAAAGAACATGGACCAGTTCCCATGAAAATATGGAGGGAATGGAGGTTTTCGGCAACCCCAAGAAAATCGACCAAATCCTATGAAAATTTAGAAGGGAATGTAGCCTTGTCCTAGGAAGACCAGGGCACCAGCAGACCGGGGCACCAGCAGACCAGGGGACCAGGGCACCACGAACAAAAAGAAAAGTACCAAAAAAAAAGAAGAAAAGTACTAAACAGAACTCTCCGCCCATTTGAGAAAACGTAAAAATAGCAACGCTAATTTAGAACTGGCGAAAGTTCGGTTATGTTCGATTCTTGAAGCATACAGGTTCGGTCCTCCAGGTCCTCAGAGTTTAGCACCATTGCTGGAAAGTACATGCCTTAAATAAAGTGCGAATTGTTTGCACCCTAGGTACTTGCAGATCTACGGGATCTTATTCATTGGCGAGGTGGAGCACATGGATGCTGAGGCCATGATTTTGAGCAAGCATTCAGGTTTACCTGAAGTTTTGTGGTTGGCTCTCTGCGACGTGCAGGTCGTATGGGTGTCCGTGTGATGCGAAGGTTGTACTCAAGCAGGTTTCTAGAAGGGGAAAGAGAGTATATACGCAAAGGGCAACTTATTATGCACTGCCGAACTGGCACATTCTCCGGAACAGAGCAAGCAGGAGTTGCACCGGAGTTGCGGCGTGGCAGCCTGCCGTGTCCTGATCGCAGCGCCTGATGGCAGGACATTTTTGTGACCGACAAGTGCATCTCAGCCACGAAGGTGGACGACATTGCCCAGCGCGCAAAGCGTTCCTTGCATTTTGTTCAAGTCGTGGTGCATGCGTGTGCACTGTTGTGCAGGAGGGGTACTATTCGACTCTAGTCGTTATGGCAAGAAGATGATGGTGTAATCATCTTGCCTAAAGACCGGTCGAGATGCACAGGGCTCGCACGTCCACAGGCCATTTGCACGTGTGTAGACAGCGCGTAGTACAACCATAGTATAACATTGCCGCCGAATGAACCCATGCATGTACCTGTGTGTTGTTGCGTGCCACGCCGAACATACATTTCTAGATTTGTCTCAGGCCTCACAGAGCTTAACAATGCTGCATGGCTGCACTTCGAGCTCTGTTCACGACTGTAGCTGTGCAGGAGTAGTGAGGACATGTAAGGACTTTGAGCTGCTACAGTGTTCGGAAACATCAGACCCCATGTGCTCACGCCAAGCTTTACGTCAACTGCGACTCCCAGCTTGCAAGCACTAGTTTTTCAGGGTGGCGTTGTGCCTAGGCCTTGAGTTCCGCAGATCCTACTTCCTCAGCGCATCATAAGGAGTGAGTGTCCAGCAACCTCTCGACCACAAATCCGAAACAGAGGACGTCAAGCCTGTGTTTTGAAGGTTCTGTAGCACAATCGAGGAGGCTAAGCAGAGCATTTCCTTAAAACTTACTACCGTGCACCGTACTGGTCACCGTACTCATTTCTACATCCGAAGCCCGAACTGGATCCCTGTTGACAGCAGGAGATCGCTTTTGACTCGCTTGAAGCCACTGCATGGAAGGATCCGGACAGACTAGGCTGAGCAAACCCGAGAACTCAAAGCAGAGAACAAACCTCCAAGGCTGGACATCGCAAGGGCTCCAAGTCCTTTGCAGCCACACTGGGCACCTCGGCCGCCTGTTCCTCTTATGTCTGTTTGCAATGCGTGTGGCTTCGCAGCATGTGACGACCGCCAGCTTGGAAGCTGTGCAGTTTGCGGGATGGATAGGGCCAGGGAATTAGGGGTTGAGTGTCCCAAGTTTCGAGATTTCGTCGGGGCTTGAACAGCCTGCTATCTGCAACCCTGCAAGTGACCTCAGGCCAAGAAACTTGTGCCATAGCGCCATTTCCCATTCTCAAGGAAACGACGGTTTAAAGGCTATATATAGTTTAGGTGTATGGGGATTTCTGAGACGTCGGAGGAGATCTGAAACCTGACGCGGCTTTAAAACTGAATCCTTTGAACTCAGGTGGGCATAGGGTTGATAAGGATCTTGGGCATCGGTATGACATGTATCTGCACATTCCAATGCATTATCTTCTTTATCCGCTTGCCCTGTCGTTAAGAAGTGCACTTTGAACTCGCCAGTAGTGGAGCTGAAGACTGCAGCCTTAATTACTGAGTCGCAGGTGTTAACTTAGGGTTAGGCGTCGTGTCTTAAAGCCTTTCCCCACTCCTACGACAGGACAAAAGACAAATGAAGCATCAGTTTGTTTCGGGCATGCGTGTCATATCCGAAGTTTATTTTGAAGAGCATCGTTTCTCCATCTGATTCCCCGCCCCCCCCAGTATTTTTTAGGACATGAATCGGGACTTGTTTATTTTGATTTAATGTGTATATAATTTTATCCGTTGCTTCCATATCATGAAGAAGTGTGTACTGAATCCTTAAGCAATTGTGAAGTTCTGATTCGTATCAGTATAAGAAGCAGGCCAGTGGGCGCATAAGTCCGTGGGCGTGGGGAGCCCCACGGGCTCACGGGTCCACGGACCCACAGGCCCACAGGCCCACGAGCCCACGAGCCCACGAGCCCACGGGCACAACGTCCAATAGCACTCAGCAAGGTAGGCTAATCGGAACCTCATACGGGTCTGTGTTGGAGTGCCCCTCAGTTATAACACAGAGCATCCCACAGAGAATCGGCACAGAATGCAAAGCATGTCCCTACAGTGCCTTTGCTGAGTTTAGTTTGGGGATGTTAGAAGTACAAAACCTTTGGCATGTAAGGTCTGTGACTAGAGGTCCTCACTACCCCCAACTCTCAACCCTTTCCTTCTTTGACCGAGGAACGATTTCCCATGGCGTGGGGAGCACAACCAAGTAACTTGGTTGAATTCTGTGACAAACGAAGGTCTTTGGCGTCTTCTCATCTAGATTACACAAAGTGTCGATGAGGTTTCTTGTGGGGTTCGGTTGCCTTGTACGACAGCGCCTCGAATCAAAGACGACTTCAGGCAGCCAAGGGGTTGGGACTTTGGATAGGAATGTTTTGTGCCATGCGTGAAAGAGAGCAAAAAAGTGCGCTTCCGGCGGACTCTGTGGCAACAGTTGCATGAGGAAGCCGGCCCTAGAGGCCAGGATTGCCAGTTCGAAGGTTCAACAAGTGTCATGAATTAATTGAACTAAAATTGAAACAATTCGTTTCTCTTGAAAACAGAGGAAACGATGGCTTTCCTTTCAAACCATGGAAGTACAGAGGCTTCCTCATGAACAGATGGAGGGAAAATTGCATATTCAAAAACAGGAAATGCAGGATTTCTTCAGGAAATAGAGGTCTCCTCTAAAAAGAGATGCAATGGAGAGTTTCCTGTCCACAAAGGAGCTAACCTTGAAATAGCGGTAGTAGAGCTAAATATACAGGAACTTGAGGTTTCAGGTTTCTTGTTACAAGTTAGATGAAAGAAGGTTAACAGGGGTTCGCTTTTAAACCATGGTTCGGGAAACATAGTTCTTCCCACGAAGCCGATTTCTTATCAACATTGTGGTGGTTCATTTGTTGCCCAGTTCTGGGTTTGCCTTGCTATCCAGTCGAGGACGGAGAACTTGTCAGAACCTTTTATGTAGGCTTCCTTTCTTTTCAAGTTGGGCCTTCTTGGGTTGAAGCTTTCAAACTGGCACTGCGGGTAGACTTTTGCCTCTCAGTCCCTGACTCAGGAAGTCCAACAGCAATGATATTCCCTTCGAAGAGAAGCTCATACCGATTTGAGCCGAGATTCTGTTGCACAACTAGCTCCTGGATGGTCGCTTTCGGCCGGCTTTCTGTCAAATTTCCCGATGGAGGAAAACATGCAGGCTTTCAGGCTTCTCTCATGTTGCTCATAGGGACCTAGTTTGGATGCTTTAGGGGCCTTCAGTTGTTGCGTCTTGTTGTGCCTATAGCACGAATTGCATGGAGTCCTGGAAGCCGAGCCGCCGGAGAAGCGCCCCACATGGCTCGCAGAATCCTGCGCGCCCGAGGCTTTAAACATGTCAATATGAGCGATAGTCAATACTCAGTACTCCTTCTCTACTACTGGAATATAAGTTTTCTGGGCTGTTGACAAGCAGTGTTGACGAGCTCGACCTAGTCCTTCACCTTGCCCGTCTTGACTGCACGGATTGTGGATGGTTGCTGAATGCTGCAATACCAGTTTAAGATTTTCCCAGCGCTTCTTGCCTTCCATATCGCAAACGCGAGTGTGCCTGGTCGCCCTTGTAACAACCTCTCGACGCACAGAGCTGGCTGCAGTGGGCAAAGCCTGTAGTTTCGGAGTAGACCCTCAAAAAGTTTAAGGCCTTAAGCACAAAAGCTCAAGCTCTGAGCCGACAAGCGCGCCAGACCACGTGTGGCAGATGTTGTGTTTCATGTTTAACATCCACGGCAAAAGCCCAGCATGGTTTAGAGCCATTGATTGGGGCTCGGGGTTTGGGGATTTTTCAATTGACTTGGCATTTGGCTCAGAGCGTAACGTGAACCAGCCTTTCTTGCCACTGGTGTCATTGGGATCGAAAGCTTATGTGTGAACCTTTTCTTCTTTGCCGTTGAAAAGCTGGTGAACGCTTCAACCCAAAGCTACTCATACAAGGACGGCCAAAAAGACCGCTGGTCTCTGCTACCCTTCGGCCCTTGCAGGGCTTGGCTATGGTAGGGGTTTATGATCATGTTGTTGAGCCCATGGGACAACCGCACAGCCGAGCATCTCCAGCCGACCGGCGAATCACCCTTCATACTCACTTGCCAGTTACGCCAGGGTTCAGGGTTGAGGGCTTCCCAGTATTCCTTGCACATCCTAGACTGTCTTTGGTTGAAGGCCTCGCGCCAGCCTGGGCCAGAAGCCAGCACCAAGTGTGCTGCACCTTTTCAATTGCCAGGGCCCTTGATCGCACATTCTCTCGCAACACTTCCCCGTCATGCGGCAACCTTTAATCTCGCAAGCTCAGGTAGTTCGGTGGCTGCACCACTGCAGCCCTCTCCTGCATAGGTGTGCAGGCCGGCTCGTCCTTCTTGTTTCGGTCGGTAGGCGGCTGCAGGCTTTTCAAAAAACTGCTACATAGCTTCCAAGGTCCAAGCCGGAAAGCCGAAAAGAGCTGGAGTACCGAGGGTTCTCGCACTGACAGTCCCTTGTGCTTGTTTAGTTTTTGAAGTTAGCGATGCCCAGCCCTGAACAACTCCCGAAACCATGAGTCGACCTGAGCCGTAAGCACTTTGGTGCGCCTGGCCCTTTGCAGCCCTGAGCCCAGTAAACCCTACACCCGAATCCTCTCGGTTTTGGGGGACCCCATTTGAAGAACTTGTTGAGGGATAAGTTCTGTTTTTTCGTCCAGGAGCCCCTCTAAAGGTTCAACCTTGGCGGCAAGGGGTTTAGGGTTGGGGGTGGGGGGGATAGGTGTTTGTGGTTTGGGGTGTTGGCGGCTTAGGGTGTTGGGGGTTTCGGGCGTTGGGGGTTTAGGGTTTAGGGTTTAAGAGGATTTTCAGGGTTTGGGGTTTTCTTCTGGGGCTTTTTTTTTTATTTTATTTTTATGTGTGTGTGTGTGTGTGTGTGTGTGTGTGTGTGTGTGTGTGTGTGGGTGGGTGTGGGTGGGTGGGTCTTGGGGGGGGTGGGGTGTTGGGGTTTTGGGGGTTTAGGCTTAAGGGGCATAATGGTTTTGGGTTTCATGGTTTGCCAGGTTTGGGCTTGGGATGCTTTGGGGGTTTAATGGGGCTTGTGGGCCTTCTGTGGGTTTTTGCCGAGTTTTAAGGCCAGTTTCCTAGGAACGCTTTGGGGTTAGGGTTTGGGGGATTCCAT